GTGTACTTGGGAAAATGTCACTGAAGACCTCAGCAGTCTCAGTGCTGGTGAGAATCAAAATCAGACTGGAAGTTGAGAGGCTACAATTATATCAAACCTTTGGAGATGATTAAGTCTAGAGTACATACTTCCTAAAAGGAAAATCTGGAAGAATTCAACCTGAGATCCTCATATTCAAAGGAAGAAATCTCCAGATTGTCTTGCACTAAACAAGACGTTACTCCATTTCTGATTCTTGTCTTTCAGAATCTTACTGAAACTGAGAGATGCTTACACCAAGTGGCAGCCAGCTGTCATTAAACTGCAGGGTGACCAATAAAGCAGCAGACCTTTCAACCGGAGCGGTCTGAAACAGGACTGTGTCGCTGAAAGAGATTTTGTATGACAGATGCTTTTCACAATGACACATTCACTTCATGAAAAACAGTTGAAGATTCAGACAATTCGCACCATGTGTTATTAACTCTATAACATTATGTTGGTTTGTTTTACACATTCACACACTTTCTCTTTTTATTATTTGTTTTATGTTTTTACTTAAAAAAACAACCTTCGCTCGTCTGTTCATGATGGGGTTAAAGAATACATTCAATCCATCTATTTAAATGCAGACACGTCAGCGTTGCTTTTATTTCTTATTTCTAAGACCGGAAGTTTGATTTGTCCTCCTCCGACAGACGTTGCGCTTCTCACAGGTACTGTCCAACTGAGGCCATTCTCGAACACGTTTACACCTGAATTTGTGCGTAAGGGAATAGCCCTCTCAGGCCCCGTTTTCCGCGTTTTTCTTTAATTATTTATTTCCGTGTAAACTGCAGTCTTGATATAAAAACATTGATGGTGGATAATTTAGCCCGGCGTTGAGGGTCCCGGGGAGAATAAAGGATTCGAAAGTCTTCTCGCACCTCAGTCTGAATCCGGAGACATGGCTCGACCACGGCCGCGGGAATACAAGGCAGGAGATGTGGTTTTCGCTAAGATGAAGGGATACCCGCACTGGCCAGCGAGGGTGAGTCTGAGCTGCGGCCGGGCTGGGAGAGCAGGGAGGCGGGGTTGGCTTTCACTGTACAGCCGCTGCTCTGCTGGGGGAACCGGAGGGATGCTACGGTGCCCGGAGCTCCACGTCTGCTGTGCGTGTTTCTCATGTCGCCGCTGTTTGGTTTCGTTTCGCACCAGGCTGAGGGGAAATGTAGACATTTTTAAAAATTAGGGATACAAGTCATATATGTTAGGAGCGATCTCCTCAACGCGTGCCCTGCTCCATGTACCTCTTTCTCGAGTTGTAACGCAGTTTAGCGCACACATGTCCTATCAAACAGATCGACGTGTTTCTCTTTTCGTCATGTTTGCATTTCACTGTCACGCGTGGAACAGAGGAGCCAGCAGGTGACCTCGAGTAACCCCCATCGGCTTCAGCAGCACTAAGAATACACCAGTGTCTGTCAGTATATCAGCAGCGCTAACAACAGACAGTGTGAAGTCGGTGTGAGATATGGGACATGTCCACGGTGCAGCGGGCTCTCACAACTTCCCCACGCGTTATTGTTTATGTGTGAGAGGACACCATTTAGGGTAATGGGGTATACATCAGCAGATGAGTGGCAGTCTAAGAAAATCACAATGATCAGCATTATGTGGAGTGAGTATAATAAATATTCAGTAACAGTTTGTCTCCCCCCCCCCCTGTCCTTCAGATTGATGAGCTTCCAGAGGGAGCTGTCAAACCCCCTGCCAACAAGTATCCCATCTTCTTCTTTGGGACCCACGAAACGTAAGCACCTATTCCTGTCCGGGATGTGATGTGTCATTTATTCTCACGTTGTTTAACAGGGAAGCAGCTGCCATGCTCATATTAATATGAATGTTATGGAGTTGCACTGTTAGAACTCAGCTCTGCTTATACAGTTATATACTCAGCTATGGAAGTATATCCTTGTATAATACTAAATGCTGCTATGGACTGCTACACACTGTGGACACTTAAACACATGCAGCCGTAATTATTAATGACACACACACACACACACACACACACTTGTTTTCTATCCATACCAGTGCACTGCCTTTAATTATTAAATCATTTTCAGTTCCATACTTTAAAGAACATCCTTGAAACATGGTTTTATCTCAAGCACTAAAGTTCCGTCTTCACCATGGAAATGGTTTGACAAGATTATTTTAACTCAAGGTCCAGTATAATGTTTCTGGAGCTTTCAACCACATCATAAACATCACATGACCTTAAGAATAGGACTTTGTTCATGTGATTAGGATAATACAACAACACCTGTCATCATATAGCTTTTATTCATAGTTTTTATTTTGTCATATAACATGACAAGCCATTGAAAGCCTCTGGGTTAAATGAGGAACTTTGCATTGATACAACAAGTTAGTCCAAATGTAATAATTATCCTGATGTAGATGAGCAAATATCTATGATTTACTAGAACAATACAGCACTCAATTTGTGCTTGATCATTCTTTTTACGCAGAGTTACAGACACATTTCTGTCAGTGCTGAGATTTGGAACCAAAGACAGACGTATAAGCAACAACTTTTTAAAATAAATAGGTTCTGCCGTGTTTTACATTTATAGCCTTTTACACTGTAATACTCTCAGTAAACTTTTTTCTGTGTTATTTAATCTTCCATTTACTTATGAATCATTTTGTTGTTTTCCAAACTGTTTAATTTACTGTTATAGTAAATGTCTCTTCACCCTGTTTAGTGCATTTTTAGGCCCCAAGGATCTTCTGCCGTACAAGGAGTACAAAGACAAATTTGGCAAGTCCAACAAGAGGAAAGGCTTCAATGAGGGCCTGTGGGAGATCGAGAACAACCCCAGAGTCAAGTTCACAGGCTATCAGGTCAATAGATATTATGTATGTGATTTAGAGAGAACAGCAGAAATGTCAAACAGGCTTGATGCTCAACAAAAGCTCATTGTTGCCGTAAGACACAAAGAACTGTTCTAAGCCAATAGGGCTGGAATAAGAAAACTGGAGTAATGTCTCTTAACGTACAGCCTCACATGTTTAAATGTGGGGTGTCAGTCATTTTAGAATCAGCCATTTCTTCTTTTAGATTCTGCACAACTAATGGGTTTTTTTCTATTCACAGGCCATCCAGCAACAGAGTTCATCAGAGACAGAAGAGGGGGGGAACACTGCTGATGGCAGCAGTGAGGGCGAGGAGGGTGATTCTGTTGAGGAGGAAGATGACAAGGAAAAGCTGAAGGGAGATAAGACTGGATCCAAACGGAAAAAAACAGCCACCTCTAAGGTACTCTACTTCAGCAGGGAAACATGGTAACACAGAAGTGAGGAGCACTGAAGCTGACATTATAATGGCAAATTATTTCAGAGGATTTCATGACTCTAAAAGGAGTCTTATGTTCACCTCTCATCTCGTGTTTGTCTTTTTGAGATTTGGGCTCTGTATCATTTTTGGCACAGATGTAAAAATCTGTTTTTCAGTTACTTTGGTTATCCATCTGTGAAGCTGAAGGCACACATGCAGTGCTTTTGGATTTTGAGTATTGTAATTTGCTCTGAAAAAGGCTGCATGAACTCGGTGCTTTGGAGCAAATGTTGTGTCATGTACAAATAGGCTGACAATGGCACCAGCAGTGTGACTCACACAGTTGGTGGTAAATGGACTGCATTTGATATAGTTATCGTCTAGTCTTAATGGCACAGTTGTTACTTTGGGGGGTTGTTGTTTAGCCCAAGGACGTGGGACAGTTGGCTTGCAGACTGGAGACGCAAAGAGTCGGTGGTAAGCGGATCACCTGCTCCACCTGCGGAACCACACCTGCCCATTTCAACAGACTAGCTTGTGCAACTTGTCATCTGACCACATCTAAAGACAAATCCTACAAGCATCACATTCCTCTGTTTACACAGCACATCATTAAAAACACACGAGTGAGACACACTGCTGTACTGTTCAATCATTACCAGGAACACAGACACACTGTAGTTGTTTATGACTTAATTCTCCAACACATATCTGCTGCAAGGACATGGAAACCCTATGGGTCAGACACTGTGCTGTTTATGGAGACAGTATTGGCTGTAAAGTGGTTTAAGTCTTCCACTTTAAGATTTTTTAAATGGGGAAACCAGGCTGATCTGATATATTAATATAATCAGTACAATTATCATTCCTTGAGCATCTGTATTCATAATGATGTTCTCAGCTTTTAGGGTTGAAGGGATGGAGTGCTGCAGAGCTGAGCACTGCCAGAGTGTGTTACTGTATTAGTGCACAAGCCATCGCTGCTGTAAATGGGTGCAGGTTGAAAAGTCAAACGCATCCTGCTCATCACTTAGCAACCACTGTTGCCTGGCAACTGGTGCTCCATTACGCACAGCACATGTGGTGCATCCGAAGGAATGTGACGCTGCTGGGGGGTGTTGTGCTGGTGTGTGTAAAAGGGGTACGCCGTAGAACTGGAATCTCCTCAGCTAACAAAAGATTAAATGTGACCTGTTTGAGTCAACACAAATCTGCAGTGACTCCCGCACATAGGCTCTACTTGTGCAGCCTGCCCAAACAGATTATGACCGGTCCAGGTAAAACAAATCGTTTAGTTTCAGCTCAGGTAAATGTTACATTAGGATTCGATTTCACTCATTTCAACTAACTCACTTTTGGCGTCTCACCAGTCTGACGTGTTTGTGTGCTTCAGTAAGTGAGTGGGGATTTGAGGCTTCTTAGCTTGGATTTAACAATAGCCTGTATGTGAGGCATTTAGAGAACAGCCTTATATTGTAACCACCAGGTGTTAAACACTCCCTTTCTAAACTGCAGGAGTCTGCATGCACATTGCCTCGCCACCCACCACCACAAGTCAAGTCTCAACAGTTTGCTTATAAAAATGTTGACTATATGTATCATATTGCTTTTGAACTGTTCATCGGGAGACAGCAGTTCTTGGATTGCAATGCTAAATCTGTGGAATACTCTTAAATATGTGTAACTGGTAATTAATTTAAAAATTATAACAGGTTCTTATCATGTCTGTGAACGCTAATTGTCCTCTTCTGACTGTGTTGGTTTATCTGTTGCAAATGACACTGAGCAAGTGTTCCTGCATCCTGACCTGCATGTCTTTGGCAGAAGTCCTCCAAGTTGTCAAGGATCTCCTCTGCAGTGGACGACCTGGAGAAGGACGGGAAAGATGAAGACCAGAAGAGCGGCTCAGAGGGAGAGGACCCTGACAACGACATCATCCAAAATACCACAGACAGTAAGGTGGGATTCATAAACGCTTCCATACTCATTACCCTAACTGTTTGTCAGAGCTCATGTGACACAGGTGAACGGTAACAGGTCACAGTTTAAAGGTGGATGTCCCATTATCTCAAACATTACTTTTTATTTATTTTCAAAGAGGAGGCACTGAACAGTATAGATGTTCTTACAATGGCAAGGCAACTTGCGACAAACAAAGGGCCTCAATTACCAACGAAGAAACTTCTTCTTAAAACCCACATGTGCTGTTTTTACGAAGATTCTGACATTCACCAATGATTTCTTATTTGTGAGTGGTTCTTATAAGAACAGAATCAATTGCCACTGAAGAGCATTCTTATGCACACTTGACACACTTGACTGAAATGCTTGTGTAAAATTTCAGCTCTTGGGTTTTTTACTTTTAATTCTACAGTATAATAACATTTTAATTACCATAATATTTGATTATTTCGATCTTAAAAAAAGACATTGCAATGCATAGTATAATTGTATTAAACCCATGAAAATGTTGAAGAGGCAAACACACACAGAATATTTGGTCTATCCTGCAAAAGATAACACTTTTTAAATACATGAAAATGATGAAGAGGAGAATATTTAGTCACAAAAACTGTCACCCAACTTTAGGTTTTACACACTGATGTTTACAAATTAAATCTGTGCTACAGATTTTAGCGAAAATGTTAAATCCGAGTGTTGCTTGCAAATTCTTAAAACTGAGATGAGAGATGGCTCAAGAGATGTAATCGCAACACACAGTGCGCACCGGTGGATGCACCATGTGAGCACCGCGCAGCGAGCGGTACCTGACCTCAAATATTATTTAGGACATTTTGTCTGAACACGACCTGGCATATCCGGTCCCGATGGATCTGGTCATGTTCAGGCTTAATGTTGAGTATCCACAAATGCTCAGCTGCAGAGTTTCCAATGATGTGCTGCTCCAGCTCAGATAACTCTGTGCACCTTCCTTTTCTCTTTTTGAGTCCAGTGCTGGCTTCTTAAATGTTCTTTATAATCTCTGTGATTTCTGTGTGTACTGCAGTCTCGGGTGTTTACCTACGCTAATTAGGAAAAACTGACACACTGTTTCAACTTACAACAATTCTGCAGTTAAAGAACGCGTCATGAATTCCTGAGAAGATATTGTTGAATAAGGCTTCACATGCCTCACCGTGTTTGAATGTTGTGCTGCTGTCTTCTGTCCTGTAAGGATTTAATATTCTGCAGTTTTTGTATGAATGACAGAACAGTTTTTGAAACGTTTTCACAGTTCTACATAATAACTAGGTCTATTGTATTATATGGAGCTTTCACAGAATTTTTTCCTGGGCGTGCTGTTGGAAGTTCACTGAACTCCCTGTCATATTTATGAAACCACTGACTTTCACTTTATGACATGGTGCATTATCCTGTTGGAAGTGTCCATAAGAAGATGGTAAAATGTGGCCACAATGGTATGAACATGTCAGTAACAACACTCAGCCTAGAAGATTTAAACCATGATTGTTTGACATTAAAGGGCCCAAAGCAGGACAACAAACTTTCTAATGATAACACATTATTGTTTGTCTGTTTATTATATTATTCAATAGTATTTTAAATATCTTTGTCTCATACTACTACCAATAATGCTATCTTTTAATATTGTGTCTCCCCAGAACCAGCTGCTCATAGAAGAACATTAAGAGAAGAAAGCATGAAAGGGAAATCATTCTTTGTAGCTGTGATGTTGGAAAGGTGAACCCACAACATGATTTCTCATCAGCGCCATCTACTGACTGCCATTGTCAACTCCTTCTTTGTTGGACTGAGTTTATCTGAAAGATGCCCCCTGATACTGGTACCAGTTATCACACGGATACCAGTAAAACTGGGCAATGTGTCATACAGTTCCTTTCTACTTAAAATCTAGATTAATTTCAGAAGTGAATCATCTGCAATTCTGAACTCTGTAAAAAGTGAGTTTTGATTGGTTTTACCCAGCGACTATGAATGATTGTTTATATTATCATTTCAAATAGATTAATTATATAGTATAGGATATTCAAAGGGGCATTGAGTTCTTGAAAAATTCATCATTCTCTTAACAACCAATAAGACCTATGATATTGTTAACTATGTTTACATCTTCATATTAATAGCCCTGTCAAAAATTTAAAAAGTGTTTTAAACTAGCAGATAAACCACTTTCAGAACCTTAAGCAAATGCTGGGTGGTGTCGTTGTTTCCATTTCCATAGAAACTTAAGCTACATTTCCACCAGAAGGACTTTCCAAGTGCGGGAACTCTGCTTTTCCACTGCTCAGACCAGGGTTTAAAAGTACTGGGCTAGTTTTTTTACACACCAAAAGTCCCACTTTAGGGGGGTGGGTACTTTAACAAAGTACAGGAACCTTTGGGGTGGAGCTTGCAGTGCTGGAGATGCCTGATTTGCCCCTCAATTTCTTATTGTCTTTTCTTCAAGTCAAGTATTTCAGGTGTTTTTGAAGATACTTTGTTACTAGTGCTTATCTCTTCCAGTGTAATCCCATTGACAAAGCTGAAAATTATGATCGACACTATCAGTGGATCTCCTCCATGTCTACTGTGGTTGTATTGTTTCTAAAAATATATAGCGTCATTGTTGTTTAGTCTTTGCAGAACACAGCCTGGTGGATTGGACAGCTTGTTATAGCCATGGTTGTTCACTTCAGAAGGTAAATTTGCCTATAATCTGCCCTGGTCTTTGGACCGCTGTGGAAATGTAGGTGAAAACAGTCTTTAGGAAACTTTTAGATCCTCGAAAAAGTTCCTGGGACAAAACATGTCAGGTACCTTTTCTTGAAACACAGCTTACACCCAAAATTACACCCAATTACAGACCCATCATGGATTTGTCTTCACAAAATGATTTTAAAGTTTGAAAGCAGGGGTAGAGAATATATTTCCTCTTAAAGGGATAGTTCACAGAATAATGTCAATTCAGTTATCATCTACCACCACTATGTTGATGAAGGGGTGGGTGAAGTGTTTGAGTCCACAAAACTTAAGGAGTTTCAGGGGTAAACAGTGTTCAACACAATTGAAGTACCTGTTGACTGATTCTTCAAAAGTAAAAATGAACAGAATAAAAACAGAAAATACCTCCATGCTGCTCCTATGGTTTCATCCAGACATTCAAATTTGACTTAAAACGGCGTAATTTTTTTAAGTTTGAAGAAGTGGTCACCAGTTAATTCAATTGTATTTTTTTTCCCTGAGACTCCTAAAGTGTTTTGTGGACTCAAACACTTCACCCACCTCTCCATCAGCATAGTGCTGAGTAAATAATGAGTGAATTTTCATTTCTCAATGAACTGTCCCTTTAAGGGGCCATTTCCATTTTTTATTACATCCTCTGAGTGCCATAATAAACTGTTCAGCTTTTTTGGTGAGGAATGAAATGATAGTGATGATGATGCATCCACAGCATTAACATGGCTTTTTCACAAGTTCTTCTTCTGTATAAGGTTTAGCTATTAGATATCTCACCACAAAATATGCCTGCACACTGTTGCAGTCAGACTGTGGTCTCGTGATAGCTGATTTTTCAGCATTAAACTTCACATAAGATTTATTTAACTTTAAATGATGTAGTTCAGCTGCATGTTTCCAACTAAACTCATCCAGAAGTGGTTCATACAGTCATGATGCAGCACCCTAAAGGACATGTCAGTCTATTATATTCTGTCAGTTTCTGTAATTGCAGATAATTGCATAATTAGATTTCTGGATTTTCTGTAGAGTTTCTCTGCCCTGTCTTAAAGGACGACTGGAAATGTATATTAGCAAAAATTGGATGGTATGCTAACCTATGTAAATAAAATATACATGAATACAAAAGATTTTTTTCCACTGACGGTAACACAGCTTCGATAGCTTAAGACTAATACTAAGTTAGTTGAATTAGAAAAATCTGCTGTTTAAGCTTAACTTAAAAATATAACATGAGAACTTTGTGGTAATGCAGTTACATATTGGGCCACTTGCATTATTAAAGTCAATACAGGCTCCAACGTTCTGTAACTAAATGTGATATCATTTGCTTTATCTTTACTAGTACCTCTTCTTCATCACACACCTGGTTCAGCTATTTGAACCTCATTTCATCCACAGCTCTGACAGTCCCTACCTGATTGTGTGCTCTGGAACAGTAAAAAAGATGACTGATTATTTTTAACAGGGATTCGTATTGAAAACGAATTAATATATCTGCACAGAAGGTCAGCTTGACAGTAATTTGTGAGGTCTGTGTCCCAGTAAACAACACAGTATGTGTGTATCTCAATTCTGTATGTGACACAGTATAATGTCATAGCGACACTGCATTCATATGTTGGTCAGATATAAGGAGGTTGAGGTGGTTCATCTTCTTTCCATTGCTTCATAAAATCAAACAGCGTAGATAGCCATCAGTCAATATTTATACTGGTGCATACCTGTCTGTATTGTATCCCTTATGGTCACCTGTCACTGTGTACAAAAGCATTTGATAAGACTTCCACATACATATATACGTATATGTTGGGAATTGCGGTGTACTGATCACTCTAGATGTAGCTGGAAATAGTCTTTTTACATGGGTGTCATGGGATAGACTTCTGGAATATTTAGAAACGGTTAAACATTATCCATCACACTATACTACTCTTTTATGTACCCAGAAAAATATGAATGGAACTACATGGATAGATGTATGAAGTGTTGTGCACAACTGGGTTACACATTGTAACTCAATATTAACTATAAATGTATATTTAACTTTTGTTGTAGAATAAAGGTCCATTATTCTACTGGGACTGCGCTAGGTAACAGCTCATCTTTTTATGGAACAAGTGACACATCTGTTCTTCTGTGTATCTGTGGAATAGATCACTGTATATTTCAAAGCTTTTGTAGTGGCATGCTCTGCTGTTGTACTCTACACCATTCTTTTATGAAAGTGTCTAAATCTGATATTTGTTGGTATGTGATTGAATTGGAGGTAAAAATACACAATCCACATTTTTCTGTTGCCTTGTCTCAGTTTTTAAAGCTGACAGTAAACTGAACCACGGTTGTGGAGATGATTTTCTATCTCAAACCTTGTGAACAACATGCTAACATGCTGTGTGATAATGCATTTTATAGTTTCCAAGCCTGTTAGATTGATGACACCAGTCTACTTTGACTTTCACTCTGGGCAACTTGCCTTTATTTTACTCCAACTATTGTCATGAGATATAGATTTATTTATTTTTGATGACTGCTGAATGAGAAAACTTCTGTATGTAAACTCATGTTTTTTATTCCCTTTAAACCTTTGTTATGCTCATTTTTTAAACATGTTTTGCATTTTCAAGGTTTGTAATTTACAGTAAACTGTTTTGCTGTTTATGGAGGAGACTTTTACAAAATAAACTAATTGGAATTCCAAGAAAAGCTGTAATGCTCATCACACACTATAAAATTAAATTAATGCATGGGTTTAAAATGGAAATATATTGCCACTTTGGCCAGATAATATGTATAAGATTTCCCTATGGGTGGTGCCAAAGGAAAAGACTTTTGACACTTAACATTACCATGCTAATTGCTACCATGTTCCTATGGTAACATTAGCATGCTCATAACTCCTAATAACCATTACTATGGACTATAGCTGGTTTTTAAAGAGGGATAGAATATGTCATATATGCATCACATTTTGGACATTACTGATAATACACAATGTATATTAGTCAGGATACCATAATTCATAGAGTATGATATACTGTCCACACACTATATTAAGAACACCATACTTAAAATGGGTAGTTCCTCCCTTTACTTTGGAATTCACTCGACACTGGAAACTCTCTTCTGGGATTCTGCTCCATGTTGACATTGCTGCATCCCATCATTTCTGCAGATTTGTCAGCTGCACATTCATGCTGCCGAGCTCCTCTTCTAGCACAGCCTTAAGATTGTACTGGATTCACATCTGGTGACTGTGGAGGTCACTGAAGTTCACCAAACTCACTGTCATGTTCATGAAACCAGTTCGACACATTATCCATTAGAAGACGGTAAACTGTGGCTATGCAGGGTCAGCAACGTGAGTCCAATAAACTGTGACACTCAAAACCAAGACAGACTGGTGTCAATATAAGTCAAGAAGACATTCCCCATACCATCACTGTTGGTAGTTAAATCTGGACACAACGCAGGTTGTCTCTATTGTTTCATGCTGTCGACTCCAGATCGTGACTCTACATCTGCAGCCTCAGCAGAAATCCAGACTCATCAGTCCAGGCTATGTTTTTCAGTCTTCAACTGTCCAGTGTTATTTCTGTTGTTCAGAGACTCACACTGTCAATATCAGAACTGTCTGATGTATAATTTCAAAGTAAAAGCCCCTGGAATGATCAGATTTTCACTGTTTGAACTTCTAATTTCAGATTGATATTAAAAATAAACTACTTGTTTCCACTGACTTATTTCACTTCAGAATAACAGATCACCACCTCAGAGTCTCACTCTAATAATATAGCCCTCTGTTGTATAATTTCAAAGTAAAAGCCCCTGGAATTATCATATTATCCTTGACAGACAGGTCAACCATTGAAAGGACCTCCCCCTCATATTATCACAGTCAGCCAGGCCCTCTTGATTCATTATAGACTGGTTTCTTTCTTTCTTTTGTTAATAACCCACATTCTGTATAGATATAGACCACTCCTGGATTGCATAAGTGTCCTGAATCCATTTACAATAATAATCCAGGTAAAAACATTTACCCAGACCCCAATGTGTTTGCCTCTATCATTGCTTGTGCTAGGGATGGTCGGACACATCCAATCTCTAAAACCTTACTAAAGATTGAGGCGTTGCCCGTTGCCCAGCTCACCGCAGCACATATGTCCTTTATGGGGACGCCCCTGAAGGACTTGAGGGGGCTGCAAACCTTTACAACTGTAGCCCAGAGATATAGCCGCCTAAATCCAGTGAGACAGCCTCTCGCAGGAATATGGCTTTCCCTTATGGGGAGTAGTACAGGACACAAACAATCGATTACCTTTCCTGAACCCTCATGTATACATGAATAGCCCACACAGAGCTCCTTGTCCTCCCGCGAGGAGAATGGATGCAGGAGCCACTTTGGGACATCTGTAGGTTGACCACCACTTTACAAAAGCTAGATTGGGCTGTAAACAGACCTTGGAGAGTCCTGGGCTGATCTGCAAACAGAAAGGGTGTATGGACAAAGCCTGTAGGTCACTCACCCGCTTTGCAGTAGTCAAAGCCAAGAGCAACACCTCTTGTCGTCAGTGACATAAACTTCATTTACAACGCCTCTATATGCTCAAATGGGTAACTAGGGACTAGAAGCATCCAGCACCACTGACCGATCCCACAAAGAAACCAGGGACCTGGAAACTGGTAGCGTGTCCCCTTCATGAAACGACAAACAAAGGGATGCTCCCCCATGGGCTTATCCCCAAAACCCACATGACAAGCTGAGATGGCAGCTAGTTACACTTTGACTATATAAAAGGCCTTCCTCTTCTCTACCAGTTCTTGCAGAAAACACAACAGATCCACAACTGAACACTGATAAGGAATTGATTGCCTTGCTTCACACCAATCCTTAAATACCTGTCACACCAAGGGAAATAGTTGACAAAACCCACGGGTGAACTTCGTATGCGCACCATTGGTGTGCCGTGGCAGACAGTGGGTTGTCGCATTGTGATGATGTCAGCTCTGTGACACGGAGGGAAATGTTCGCTGTCAGAAGAGCATGAGCTCTCCCTGTAGGGATTAAGGGGACAAGGCATTGACTTATTTTGATTTGTAGTCAACATTTTGTCCTTGGCTCTGGGCCCAGCTACAACACTGTTATTTTTATTCTTGAACAGGGTGGATGTGCTTGGTGAAATGAAGTCCCTGAGTCTTGGAACTGAGGAAATCTGGACTGAATGAGTTGCTCTGGAGAACTGTGAATGACCAGGGTCACTGAGCCCTGAACTTTGGAGTCCTGCTCCATCTCCATTCCTCTCCTTTTCTTTGTGGGAGGGGGAGAGGGAAAGGCCGACCTCGCTTGGCTGCCCGCTTCTTTTTTCCTCTGCTGGGGCAGGAGGGGCGGTTTCGTGCTGCCTCTTGTCAGGGGGTGGCAGAAGTGGCAGGCGTGGACCCAAATGCACGACACGGAAGCAGACAAGGATTAGGCAAAGTTCAGGGTTTATTTCYAAGCAGAGGTCGATTTCCAGGCAGACAGTCCGGGGCAAACAGAACCAGCAGGGAGTAGGCGAAAGGGGAATCCAGGTAACAGAGCAGAGGTCAGGAGCCAGGTGATCAG